TATGAAGTGATTGTTACTAATCGCCAAGACTGCTGTAGTGAGTTGCTTCTGGATTGTAATATGTTTTAATACTCCATGTAACAATGGCTTACTCCCACTAGTATGAAACTGCACTGGATATATATTACTCTATACACATTTTGCCTTAGAAATTGAAACATGGTGTTTAAAAACACTCCAAGTGTGAAGCTCTCTTTTGTCAGTAAGGCCAAGTTACTTTGGAGCTCAAAACGTTTGCCCTAAATTTGAATATTTAACGTTTGTTTACGGAACATCACAATCACTCATACGATAACGTTGGCATCGGCAAATGAACGAATAAATGATGGTCATCCTATCAGATAGCACTGGCTAGTTCAAAACCTTGAAACCTTCGGCGAAAATTATCCAATTATCAAAGTCCAAATGTTTGTTTTTGTATATTTTATTTTACTCTTTTATTCCTTTAAAATAAATCAGAATCAAGCGTCTTTCTTATATGTTTACGATGTTCTATTTTCAGTAATCTGGCGTTCATCGAAATTCCGCGTACACGTCGCGTGAGATTTCTACCAAATATGTCACATGATGAGATTAAACATGCCCAACACTAATTCCTACTATAAATGAACATAACACTATCATTTTGTGTTTTTTTTTTACATTTCAGAAACTCGTATTGCGAATTCTGAAATCCGAGTCGGCTTGTCAGAAGATATTTTCCGAAATATTCAATGTGGTGATATAATAACTGAAAGCCAAACAAGTCAGTCTAACATTTATTTCCAATGTACCAATCCAATAATTGGGCGTTATGTTAGTATGCAACTTGTAGACAAATCTGAATACCTCAACTTTTGTGAAATGAGGGTCATGGCAGAAGGTAAGAAACAAACACCATATATTACCTTAAAACTAATTTTGCTGCTGTTGTTCTTCTTCTGCAGACCATTTCACGAGAAAAAATAAATAATACGGTCAGTCACGAGGTTTGGCAAGCATTTTGAATTTTTTGGCAAAAATAGCAAAAACATTGTATTTGTTTCTCATAAGTGCTTTAACCAATCAACTTAATATTAAGCTTGCGGCATATATGCCTATAAAACTCTTTACAGGAAAAATAACCTAATTGTGATCAGGAACGTGCATTTTCCTCCATTAATAATTTTTGACAAAATTGACCAAAAGTTCAATTCTATGCTTCCGCGAGAAGATGTTGTCTTGAAGTCAGGTTTATAGGTTTAATGGCAGTAGAAATTTCATCGCAACAATTTTTGTAATTTAGAATTAAAAAATCAGATTCTTCTATGCGTAAAAATGTGGGTTTAGGTGTATCATAACTATTTTCACTTAATGCACGCGATCTTAACGCACACATGGCGCAAATTTGATTTTAATAGAAACATAGAATATGGACAGAAATAAACTACGTATATGTCGTGAATATTTCTGACAACCTACCTTCGAACTGTGTTAGTATTTGCACAACGGGGGATATTTCAATTATTACTTGTAAATTGTCACATACTATATACGCTGGTCACTATAACCAGAATATTTTTCTGTTTACAGCGTACTTATATGAAGTTTGCCCTCTAACATACACCAAAGACTTTCAAGCTTTTTTTTTTACATATTATTGGTCTAATTGCATCTGAAAAATATCAGAATAATTTGACCAATAGATTCAACTCACCCTTTCCAAAATGGAAAATAATCAATATCTCAATCAAATGTTGACTCGCGACATTAACTTCATTTTAGAATACCAACTAAGACTAGTGAATGTGGCATTCGGTAAGACGGCAACGCAAAGTAGTGATTGGTCAGCATCTTTCCCGGCAAGCAATGCTGTGGATGGTAATACCGCCACAAACTGGGGTAGTGGTAGCTGTACCAGTACTACGAATGAACAAGGTGCCTGGTGGAAAGTTGATCTCGGGGCAAACTACCTTGTGTATGAAGTGATTGTTACTAATCGCCAAGACTGCTGTGGTGAGTTGTTTTTGCGTCTATACGTAATCAGCCTTAATACTGAACGTAACAATTAACGGCTTGACATACTCCCAATAATATTAAGCCGTATTGTATGTATACATTTGAATTATATGATACTGCTTTTCTGAGGACTATGAATATGACACTTCATTGTATCAAAACAGTCGCAAGCCAGTTTACTAAGAGATAACTTTGGCATCAGCAAATACACGAATAAATTAGGCTCGTCCTATCATTGATAGTCCGATAGCACTGACATTCATAATATGCAAACAGACTGCATACTCTAATGGCAGTTCAATATTTCTCCTACTGCGAAAATTAGCTAATTATCAAAGTCAAACTGTTTTCTTTTGTATATTTTTTTATTATTCTTTTGTTCCTTTAAAGGTAAATCTGAATCAAGCGTCTTTCATGTATGGGTACGATGTTTTACTTTAACTGTGTTCATCCACATTTTCTGTACACATCCCTAGCACATACATCACATGATATGTTTGAAAATAACCAGGAATCAGCCAGCACTAGTTCCTACTATGAATAAATACAACATTACCGTTTTGTTCGTTACATTTCAGAAACGCGTATTGTGAATTCTGAAATCCGTGTCGGTTTGTCAGAAGATATTTCCCAGAATACTCAATGTGGTGAAAAAATAACTGTAAGCCAAACCAGTCAGGCTAACATTGATTTCCAATGTAGCAGTCCAATAGTTGGGCGTTATGTTAGTATGCAACTTGTAGAAAGATCTGACTTACTAAACTTTTGTGAAATGCAGGTCATGGTAGAAGGTAAGAAACAAATACCATACATTACCTTTAGACTTACTATGATGTGTTTTTGTTGTTGTTGTTGTTCTTCTTCTTAAAAACATTTAATGAAAATAATTAAATAATATGATCAGTCACGAGGTTTCCAGGCTTTTTATTTTTTTGGCAAAAATGGGAAAATAAGTGTGCATTTATTTTTTATGAGCGCTTTAACCAATCAATTTGATACTAGTCATGTAGCTTATATGGCTAAAGCTCCTCAAAGGTAAATTGATCGAAAGTTAAATTCTATGCTTCTCGAGAAGATGTCTTCTTGAAGTAAGGTTTCTAGGATGGATCATTTCAGAAATTCAATTGCCACAATTTGGAATTGAAAAATTAAAGTGGAGATCTTTCCATGTGTTTAAAAGTAGTTAAAATTGTATCATAAATGTATAAATTAATGCTCGCGCTTTGGACTCACACAGTGAGAAACGTACAATATTGACGGAGATTAGTCATGTATATGCCGTGAATATTTCTGCCAATTTATATATCTGCTTCGAAATGATCAGTATTTGCATATCAGGGGGAATTCCGAGATATCACTTGTAAATTGTGGTATATTGTATGCGCTGGTCAGTATAACTAGAATATTTTTCTGTTTACAGTGTAATTATATGAAATGAATCATGTAAAACAGACCAAAGAATGTCAATCTTTTACATATTAGGCATCAAAATTGACTGACCTTGATTAAACTCATCCGTCTCCAAAATAGAAAATAATTAAAACAATATCCATCAACTCAATCATCAAATGTTTACTCCCGACAATAACTTCATTTTAGAATCCCAACTAGAGCTAACGAATGTGGCAATTGGTAAGACAGCAACGCAAAGTAGTGATTGGTCAGCATCTTTCCCGGCAAGCAATGCTGTGGATGGTAATACCAACACAAACTGGGGTAGTGGTAGCTGTACCAGTACTCAGGGAGAAGAAGGTGCCTGGTGGAAAGTGGATCTTGGTGCAAACTACCTTGTGTATGTAGTAATTGTTACTAATCGCCAAGACTGCTGTGGTGAGTTATTTCTTGGTCTACCCGTATTCTGTCTTAATACTCCATGTAACAATGGCTTTCGACATACTCCCAATAGTACTAAACCTTATAAGATATTACACTATACTCATTCTGCTTTGAAACATGGTGTGTGAAAACACTCCAAGTGTGTAGATCTCTTTGGTCAATTGGGCCAAGTTTCTTTGGAGCTCAAAAAATTTCCCCCAAGTTTGAAGATTTAACTATTGTTTACGAAACATCACTAAGACTCATGGCATACTGCTGATTTGGGGACCATGAATGTGACTACACAAACAAGCTAATAAGCCAAAGTCAAACTGTTACATTTGAATATTTTATTTTATTTCTTTTCTTTATTTTTTTTTTTTAAATAAATCAGAATAAAGCGTCTCTCATGTATGAGTACGATTTTACTATTTTGACTGTGCCTGCGTTCATTCAAATCTCGTGCACACGTCGCGTGAGATTCCTGCCAAATAAGTCACATGATGATATTGAAAATGACCAGTAATCATCCAGCACTAATTCCCACTATGGATGAACATAATACTCTATCATGCTGTTTGTTACATTTCAGAAACTCGCATTGTGAATTCAGAGATCCGAGTCGGTTTGTCAGAAGATATTTCGCAAAATACTCAATGTGGTGATATAATAACTGAAAGCCAGACCAGTCAGGCTAACATATATTTCCAATGTATCAGTCCAATATTTGGGCGTTATGTTAGTATGCAACTTGTCGAAGGATCTGAACTCCTCAACTTCTGTGAAATGCGGGTCATTGCAGAAGGTAGGCAACAAACAATTACATTGTTGTTCTTTTTGTTATGAGAAAAATGAAATAATCAGTTACAAGGTTTGGCTGGTATTAAGAATTTTGTTTTGGCAAAAATGGCAAAAAAAATTTTGCATGTGTTTCTCATGATCGCTTTAACCAATCAACGTGATAATAGGCGTGCAGCATATATGGCTAAAGCTTTTGCGGGTAAAATAACATATGTTTGATCAGCAACCTAGTTTTGGCATTTGTGTCTCATGAACGCTCTAGCCAATCATCTTTTGTATATGAAATGAATAGAAACTGTTCCTTGATTTTTAACATAATTTACCAAATTATCATTATCATTTTTTCTGGCAAAAATCACTCTAATGTTGAGCTTATGTTTTTCACGAGTGCTTAAACCAATCAACAGTTGATTCAGTGAACTAGATATTCTGTGTGTATCATATATGTGAAAATCATTTTACAGGAAAAATAACCTGGTATTTATTTTCGTACGTTATTCAACTGATCGACTTGATATCCAACAAATATCACCAAATCTTCACATGAGAAATAATAATCTAATTATATCGATCAGTCAAATGGTTTGATACCATAATTGATTTCCCGAAAAAATGTTGAAGTTGTCGGAATTTGTTTCTCATTAATACTTAAATAAATCAACTGGATATTTTGATTGTAAAATGTATGTCTCAAGTTTTGTAGGAAAGAATAACATTCACATCGTTCACATGATTTGACCGCCATCTTGGATTTCCGGCAAAATGACCAAAATGTTACTTCACAGTAACAGCACTGCACACCGGATACCATCCTATCACGTGACCATAAATACATACGATCAACGTAGACATTATCAAGGTTCCACTTTGCCCTCACTCACACCGCTTGTGACTTTAATATATAATATTACAACCTTACATAGTGTAAAACGTGTCTTATTAGCTCGCGTTTTATCCAGCTA